TTCATATTATAGGTCCTTTATAAAAGATTTTGCGGCTATCGCTGAGCCATTGTTAAAATTAAAAAGGAAAAAGGCAAGATTCTCGTGGACGGCCGAAGCCAATAGTGCTTTCGAAAAATTAAAACAAGCATTAACGCAAGCCCCTGTGTTGAAATTTCCTGAAAAGGATGAAAATTTAGAAATTTCAGCGGATGCTTCGGATTATGCGGTAGGAGCGGTACTTTCGCAAAATCAGCAGCCCGTGGCATTTTTTAGCCGAACTTTAAATCAAACACAAAGAAACTATTCCGCGACCGAGAGAGAGAGAGGCACTTGCAGTTCTGTTAGCAGTGCAAAAGTTCCGAGTCTATTTTGGAAAGGCGCCGATAACAGTATACTCTGATCATGCGGCGGTAACTAGATTGTACTCAGGGAAAAATTTATCCCCAAGGTTAATAAGATGGGCACTCAAGCTGCAAGAATATAATCTGGTAATCAAGCATACCCCCGGAAAGGAAAATATCGTAGCAGATGCCCTATCACGAATTAAAATTAGACGAACAGGGTAATACCGTAAAAGTGGCAATGCTCACAGCATGTACAATAAATTCCCGAGAAACTGTAATAACCGAACTGGGTAAGGATCCTGAGTTTGGAAGTATTTATGAGTATTTGAAGGATCCTGAAAATTTTAGCCACCAAGATATTGTGGCGATAAGAAATAGGGCGGGCCCATTACGAACTAATAGATGGTCTATTATTTTATACAAAAACTACGAATTCCAACAACGAATTTCGACCTGTTATCCCAGCTAGTCTTAGATTAAATATCCTGCAGGAGCTCCATGACAGCCCTTTAGCTTCTCATGCTGGTATTCGAAAAACTATCCAACGCGTACGCGAGGCAGTCTACTTTCCTGAACTGCAAAAGTTAACAAGGGCGTATGTCCAGTCCTGCCCAACATGTCAAGCCGTTAATTATATTAATTTCCGCCCGGCCGGGTTTCTAAATAGTATTAAATCCGAATTTCCAAATGAAATAATTGGCATCGATTTATTGGGCCCTTTCCCAAAAAGTCAGTTAAATAAAAGTCGCTATCTCCTTGTTATGGTTGATCATTTTAGTAAATGGACCGAAATTGTTCCCTTAAAACGAGCCTCCGCGAAATTAGTTACTGATTCTATTTTAAATAAATATATTTTAAAATACGGGGCGCCCCTAAAAGTTATATCGGATAATGGTCCTCAATTTGTAAGTAATATATTTGAAGACATGTGCCAAAAACTGGGCATACGTCATTTAAAAATGGTCCCGTATCGGCCGCAATCAAATATAGCGGAACGGGTCAATAGAAATATAGTGAAAATTATCCGTAGTTATGTTAAAAATTTTCATAAAAGCTGGGATAACTATGTCAATGAATTTGCTTTCGCCCTTAGGACCGCAAAACATGATACAACGGGCAAAACTCCTGCTGAGTTATTTCTAGGCAGAAAGATTATAACACCGTTAGATAAATTATTTTATGTGCAACAAAGAGCCCCAGAATTTAAAATGGGTGATATAGAAAAACTAATTAAAGAAGCAAAAAAGAATACTGAAGTAGCACAGAGAAAACAAAAATTGTATTATGACTTGAAACGACGGGGAGTAACTTATAAAGTAGGGGATGAAGTATTAAAAATTAAGCATTCACTTTCTTCAGCACCAGAAGATAAAACTGCCAAATTTTTTTCCACGATTTGAAGGACCATATGTTATAGAAAAAATAACTCACGCTGTTGTAGTGTTAAAAGCCAGAAATGGTGAAACCTGTTCCGCAAACATTGATCAAATTAAAGCCCTACTTCGATCGTAATAAAATGCAAATCTTTTCAGATCTTTTGCAGGATCCGGCACGGCAGACACCGCAGGTACAAGTTCCAGAGGTGGGAAAACGACAAGTACAAGGGCAAGCCAATGAGAGACAGAAGCAAGTGAAAAGAAAATTGCCCCGCGGAAAAATTGAAGGTAACAAGAAAAAGAAGCCGTTCCACCGTCCCAGAAAACAGAGTTCACGAACACCCCCAGAATGAAGAAGGGAGAAGGACGACGTATGTGAAGAGGACCAGGAGAAATGACGGCAACTATAACCCGGCTTTTAAAACGGAAGATCTACTCATCCGACAGAACTCTCCGCAGCAAAAGTCGCCGAACTGCGGAAGGGCCATCAGCGGCGGAGGAAAAAGTACAAGAAAAATTTGAACGGCCAACAACGAGGTCCAAGCAGGATCACGACAGAAGTTTCCCGGTTCCGCCAAGACCAGCTGCCATCAAACGGCCAAGACCACAAGCAGAGGACAAAAGGAAGGTGTTCAAGGGTGGCCGTACTGGTGAAAAAACGGAAGCTTCCAGAGGAAAGCACTGAAGGGCGAGCCCGTACAAGAAGGAGGATAAACCAAGCTACTATCTGCTATACCTTTAAAGACTGGGCCCAGAAAAGGATGTCCGAATATTACAAAGATAAGTAAAATTTTATGTTACTTTGCAAACTTAAGTTAATCTTTCATTCTTACTGCAAGTGGCAGATTTCAAGAAGTTTTACCTCATGCGAGGTCTACCTTTATCGCCAAAAGGGCGAGAAATGAGTTGTTGACCGATTTTCGTATTATGTTTTTCAATTACTCGCGTGCGTAAAACTAAAGTTGATGTATAATAGCGTTGTGTAAAGACTTAAATATTGTAAAAAGTTATTGTATAAATTTTATTTAAAACATTCTAGCAAGAAAGAAGTTTTAGTCTGAAAGACTTTTTGAAATGTAGTATTATTTCAATGTAGAAAGAATTGGCACTTGCTTTGAAAAGAATAGAAGTTAACAATGTACTACTAATGTATGTTTTCAAATGTGTAAAATTAACGGCATGTTGATATGTTCTTATATACAATGTGAACTGTTATTTTAAATGTTAAGAAATACCGTGATATGGTAAAAGTGAAAGTAATGTTAAAAATTTGTTATTCGTGTGACTGTAAAGATTAAATCATGGTGAATATGTGGTAAAGGTTGAATGATGTAGTTAGGCTCTCTGACGCTACACTTTAGAGTTAGCCACTTTTAGAATAGTACCTCAGGGTTTAGAGTTGAAAGTAGGGTGTGTTAAGAGGTCTCGTTATGTTGAATTTTAACACGTTAGTGTTTTGATTGTAGGAGGAAGTGTGGCACACGTAGACAGAAACACATTCGTGTTTGGTGTTCTTTTACAACACATGTCAGAGAGCACGGGGAGAGATAATTAAAATAGTCATGAATGAAATAAGAATGTTAAGAGAAGTATATTCTATATGTTATTTGCAATGTCATTGTGTAACATTTCATTAAACTAGTTTTCCTTCCAGATCTCTGGAAGGAACCAGAATTGAATAAAGCTCCTGTTTAGATGCAGTACAGATGAAAAAAAAGATTGTTGTAGATCCTGGGAGCTGATATTGTAACAAATTTCTTTCTTTTAAATTTTCTAGTTTTTAGCGAAGCATTTTTTTGTAAAAGGTTGGCCTCGCGTTAGATTTTAGAGCTAAAAGTTTTCAACAAGGTCGTTTTAGACCTCAGTTTCAAACTAATTAACTCTGGCGGGAAGTATGTAAGGATCTTAAGTTTTACTAACGTTTATTTTATTTTAAATCTTTACTATCACTTCTTATTTTCTACTTCCGGCCAGAATTATAAGCGTGAAGGATTTTATGCAAAGTTTGTCTGGCGAACGCCAAGTATTTAAGTGTGGCCTTTTTGCCAAGAGAGGGAGAGGAAGCAGTGAGTTCGAAGCAGGCCGCTTACCTTAGAAGTTACGCAGTTGCTATTTGCCTTCCAGGCCAGAGGTTTTAATCCTCTTGATAAATTAAACGTATTGTAGTGTTCACAGTCTCTGTGCTACATACGCTTCCTGTTATTATAAGGCCAATCTTCCACGTGTATTATTCTAAAGTTAAATTAGAGTTTAGTTTTATTTTGATATCTTTTACGTTAGACCCCGAGTGGAGGGTCATTGTATTACGAAGTACGGAAGTCATTGTATATAAAGAAAAATAAAGGGTTTTGTATACCCTTCGTCTGTATCCTGTCTACTTACTACAATTAGTGAACATAGCTTTAGTAAGCTCTCTGTTCTAGTCAGGTCATTGTATGTTTCCGAAGAACGTTAGAAGAAACATTGAACCTGATAATATATGTATGTATATAAATTAAGAACAGTGCCTAGAGTCAAAATTTAATACTCATTTAGCTTGCTTCTAAAAGTTTAACATTTTTTGCTACTACTGTATTTGGATATCCTGCACAGCAAATTCTCAAATTATGTAAAATTCGTAAAGTGTATTTGTAATGTGTACTGTTGTAAAGTGTATGTTTTGTTGTAAAGAAATCTGAGTATCTAAATGTGATAATGATGTACATTATTCAATCATGTACCGAGTCACAACAAAGTCCGCAACAGTACTTACAATGTTATTTAATGTATCCTCTTAATGCTAGATATTGCGGGAACGCAAGACAATACCACCTAACCTCTTTGCAGAATGATAGTGTCTCCTTCCCCCTTCAACTGAGTCTGCAGAACGCTTTTGAGCAGTTTAGAGTCGAAAAGCAACTTCTAAATGCATAATTTATCAGTAGCTACACTAGTGTTATTAAATTCGCGTAACTGTATAGTACGATACGAAGTGGTAACACGTCAGTGGTGAGCAGAGTGTATTCTCCAATTTCTAGGCACCAATCCATTCAATCAAACCCCGTTTCATACTAAATGAAATTCGGATCAAACAACCACTTGTCAATATTTGATGACGCTATCCGGAGTCTCTATCTAATATTTGCATTTGCATTTGACTGGCTTTATATCAGCGCCGCCGACTAAGCAACGAGGTTCCTTAACCAGCACCGTTAAGATTAAGAACGCAGATTGTTTATCCAAATCAAACATAGGGGAGTAATAGCGATTAAGATTCGAGTAGAAGACAGGCAAAATCTTGCCCAAGTACTATACTTACGGGTCAGAAATTTGACGTACTCTCGCTGAGAATAGTCGCCTGAAAGTAACAGCATCAGGAAAAGATGAAGTATATCTGTTTAGATGTTTACCTTATGGTAACAGTTCAAATAAGATTTGAAATAAATAATACATACCTATTCATAATAATAATTTGATATTTCACGCAGGTGCCAACTGTTAGATGATAAACTATTTACAGTATATTAACGCCATGCACAGAGAAACTTTATTAAGAGTTACTGGGAAATCCATGTTTAAATTTTAATTTTATTTAATAACCACTGACATATCTGTGAGTACGCTGTACAAGAAAGAAAAATTAATTACACTACACATGCGAAATTAATTAATAGCACGTAAACTTTTCAGGACACGCACACAAAAAAATTGATCCAAAGAATAATTTGAACATTTTTTTTTCTGATTTCATGGCATATTTTAAAATTAATAACATATTCATTATTTTCATATTTTATTGCTTTCTTGTAAAGCTCAGAGCCAAACTTCAGTGAGCCTTGGTATGAAACGTCGATTTTTAAAATCTTCAGGAAAGTTAAGTGTTTTCAGTTACTCAAAAATGTAGATATTAAAAACTTGGAGTAAGTTTTGATTACAGATAATACATACATCGGGAAGAAAATTATAAGATATTCGCATGTATATAATTTTCCTTATAGCAGTTAGTTTCTTACTACCGGAATTCATAACAATTTCTTCAATATTAGATCCTTTTACAATTTTCATAACAGGTGGCACCTCCGTGATTGGCAGTAAATATTAAGTTTAGAAAGAAAGCTCCATACACAAACTGTTATACAAGAATTGTTTTGAGTATAAATATACAAGAATCTACAACAGTATTTAAAGTGACACACACATTTTTGAAAGCTTTCAAAAATTAATAAATATCAAAATTTAAAAAAATAAGCAACACTTTTCAGCATAAAATAGCAAAAATAATTGAAATACAGGTTTCTTTTAAAACAAACATATTATTTTCCTAAACTAATCATCATGTATTATTTATTAAATTCAAAAAGGAACTTATAGAAAATAATTCAAGCTAAATAATTAAATTTCAGAGACTCTTTTTTTTTCCACAAATGCAGACAGAATCTATGCAAACAAAGTAAATACGGAAAAAACATAAAAACTCAATTACTGTAGAATATTTGAAAGAAAAATAAATATCAATTACTGTAGAATATTTGAAAGAAAAATAAATATACAGGCTTGGCTTTCTTACAATAATTATAAAAACACTTTAATTCAAAACATAAACGTAAATAATTGATTATTTACAATTTAGAATAGATAGGTGAAATACGAAGCTTTAAAAAGTTTAATGCTCCTATTAAATCTGTAATTAAATCGCTAAGACAATAATAAGAAAAGGCATTTTCTAATCAACATTAAAAAATCTATCGTTGAATGCTAAATAAATTTAATTAGTGTGATTAGTTACTGTAATTCAGACATATTTAAAATGAACAGTTTTCCTAAAAATCTGTCATCCGTATTATTCGTAAAATAATAGCACAAATATTTTTTATTTAAACATCTAATTCTTATCTCAAAATACGAATTTAAGTATTCGGCTGATTTGCGAAAAATGCAATTAACAATAAAGAGAATGCAAAAGAAATTTCATTTATTTCTTTAAATTTCTTAAATCTAAAAAAAAAAAGTGATCGCGCCCTGAAATTAATTCAACTTGAATATAAGACAGCATTTTTTGCACATTTCCTCAATAAATGTGAACTTTTGAAACTTCACCATCAAGACAAATTTTCTTCCGCTAGAAAGATAAAAACAATAAAATTAGACACAAATAAATTTTAAAAGGCAATCGATTTCCCATACTAAATTACTACGCTTTTAATTTAAAATTAGACTAAATTTAACCTTAGACCAATATTAGGTCACAGAAACAATAAAATTAAGCTATAAATAAATTTGAAAAAGGCAGTCACTTTCCCATAATAAATTACTGCACTTTTAATTAAAATTAGGCGAAATTTAATCTTAAACGAAAATTAGGTTTGGTATAAAAAACACATGTATTTCGAAGGACAATGTCAAGGACTAATTTCCCCTTCAAAGCAGTATAAATGCTTTACATACAAAAGAAAGAAAATGAAAAGAACTTCTATAAAATAATGTGCAATCGAAAGCTGAATTTTCCTTATTTTATATTTCGAACTGCGGTACTTCTTTTTTGTAATTTACATACCACATAATAATCGAAAAATTTCAGTATCACTTTATGTCATAATATTACGTTAGCAATGCACCTTCCCTAACAATTTTTAATGGAACATTAACAAACCCACATTTATCTATTTGCGTGAAAAGTTACACTATAGAACGATATTCCAAAAAAAATTACTATTAACTACACTAATTGAAAAGAAAAAGATTAACAATTCGATTCCATGTGTTTGAGCCCTTTCCTAGAATTTTGTCAAAAAATATTTTATTCATTTGAGATATGGGATGCAAAAGCATGCATCTAAAGAAATTCAAGAACGCCCTTTTCCCAGTAAACAGAATGAAGATATTTTTTAAAATGAAGATGTTTTTCTACTGCGTCGCTTCCAACAGTATACGATGTGATCTCTTTCTAGGATGACAAAAGTGGCAGTCTGTATCTCATTCTGTTTTAGAATCATCTGTGTGCAGAGAAATATCTTTTTGGAGATTTGTTGATTGAAGAAGATATTCTGCTGTGACTTGTGACTTGGGATGGGTCGGATGGCAGATAACTGGGGGATAAAATTTTTTCTTTACGAAAAACATGACGTACACAGATTACTGTAATCAGACACAGGTTGCAGCTTTTATCATTTGGACAATCAAATTATATGCTCTTGGAAATGGAGATTGAACCAGATAATTCAGTGTACCAAGCAGAATTAATAGCAATAAGAGTGGCGACTGCCTATTTCACAGCGTCATTCCCAGAACACAATGACTCCTAGTCTAGCCGCAATCTCAGCAGGGTGAAGCCGCAGTCCTTTAATTATCCAAATACGTGAAGTACTGATACTTCGATACTTTGTTGGTTATTCTGGCATGCAGCGGGAGATGCACTACTCCTGCTCTTTCCCGATTCCTAAATGAGCCCCCTTAGGGCCCTGATGTATGCAAAAGTCTTCTGCGGACTTCTATGAGTGTGGCAGTCATAGCAAGCTAGATCGCCTGAATATCCTTTTACTTGGGATTACCACCTCAGATTACCAACAATTCTAAACACCGGACAGATTAAGCATTGGATGCTTTCCAATTAAGTTACACAGAGTAGAAATGAAAGAGCTATTAATTACTCTGCCTCCACATATGCAAGAATTTCTTATCATTAGTAAAAACTGTACTCTTTAATAAATGTTTATATATCTTCAAACACAATTTTTCTAACTTTATGTATTTTGTATCATGATATTTTTTCTTCATTTATTGCAATAACTGTATCATAGTCCATGCGGGTATTCAATGTTTTAAAATTATTCTTACATCTTGGTTTTTAATGCATTTTTGTAGATATCTTAATCCATTAGAAACCGCCTATAACAAGCATGCTAGTGCTCTACTTAAAGATATGCGTAATGATGTGTGCCAGTATTGTAATACATGTGAAAAAAACTGAAATTAATTATATTGATAATGATTATCACGTTAAGTTTGTAATATCTTTGCTGTGAAACACAGCAAAATCGATGTAAAATCGTAATTTTTATGCTCTTTTATGTATCTATTTTATCATTTTTCTTTATATATTTATATCTTTGTTTTCCATTCTGGGATGACATATAATTACGCGGATGTCATCTCGGCGGTGTACAGCTGATACTTTGATCTTTTATGCATCGCTTACTTATTAATTTCTCTTATTTTGCTAGAAGTTAAAGGGAAGAGAAAAATACAACAGCACGAGAAGGAATAACTGTAAATATCGGACAACACCTACTCATCCATTTAGTAAAATATAGCTCCAGACTTGTGTTTGCGCTCATGATCACGATCTCCACGGAAAAATAGCATGTTTAAATTATCGAAATATTAACATATCGAAGGTTAGTTAGTTTGTGATTAAAAATATACAACAAATGAAAATTAGTTAAATATTAATTTGGCGTCTTCTTTCGTAACAGCCTGCATAGCCAATATCGTAAGCGGCCTAGAAGCCTAACGTTTTGTGAATGAGAAAGTTTTACTTTATATCCGCACACACACGCTGATTTGACACTTTTTAGGAGAGTCGGCTTAAAAGCATTATTTCATTTTGGCGACTTTGTGTGTTTTAGGCGCATTATTAAACCTCAGGAGGCTACTCGCGCATCAGCAATATGCTCCATTTGGCGTTGTGTATACGCAGGAGCAAATCGTGGAGTAAAACTATACCCAGAACGGCTCGAGGCGATATAAGGTAGAGCGGAAATGAAAAGCTCTTCATCAACGAAACGCCAAAGCGATTTAGCAAAAGAGTCGCACGAATTTTACACAAAATCTTTTCTGTTTCCTCTACTTTTTTGTTATTATTTTACTTGTGAGTTTGCAGGGTAGGAAATGACGGGTTACGAAGATACCGTCTTGTAGTTTCAAATGTGGGGGTCTGAAGCACAAAAAGGAAAACAAAAAAGGCTATAAAAGAGATCTGCAGATTGCTAAAACTTGCCTAACTGTTTTGAGAAATAATAAAATATCCTTATTCAGTGCAACGCATATTTACGTTTTCTTAGAAGTTTATGTAATTAAGTATTTTACATGCATTTATATTACATTTTTTAATTGCTTTAAAAAAGGTTTACTTCACCGTCTACTTAAAATTTGGATTATTGGTATTTGAAACCAGTTTCCTATATCTTAAGAATTTTAGTTTGAATTGATTATTAATTACATACTTAATTTAAAAATATGCTTCTTAATTTGCTACATGTAATTAAAATATTTCATTTAGCACATTCCCAATGATTAAAATTACGTAAATTCGTTTAATTACATTTTTGGTTGGGCTTCCGCCTCATGCTACAGTACTCC